TTCAGCAGTTCGAATAAAAAGGTACAAGGGACGAGTCCTCTCTGGTGAGGCAGAAGCTGCTCCACGGCTTCGAGTGCATTTCTCTGGCACTCTCTCTTGTGAAGTGAAACGATTTTGTCCCCTGAAAATTCCTCGAAAACCCATCTCTTTGCGAATTTGCAGATGGAAGAAACAAGATTTTCCAAGGGAACTTTCTGGGATTCCATTGCGTGGATCAATGGTTCATACAACTGAAGCGGGATCGTGATCAGATCTTCTGATTTGCAATCGAGAACAAACAGTCGTCTTCTCGCGTTAGGCCTTATATAATCGTCATCGCCCTCGTTGTCTTCTCCAGTTCCATTGCTGTTGTTCTTGATTCTGATTGGTTCCCCCAAAAGTCTTGGCTCCTTCACAGCCTTTTCGACGAGAGAATCCAAGAACGCGTTCAGAAGTCCGATTTCCTCTACTTGGTTCAGAATCTTCTCTGAGGCACGAAGTGCTTTCAAAGTCTCGTTCCAGCTCGGAAGCACTCTTTCCTCCAAGAACGTTGCCGCCTTGTTCAACAAGTTATTCGAACTGTGATCGTCGCTCATCCCCAGATAATAGGAAAGGCAGATGACAGGTACGATGTTGTCAGAAGAAAGCTGAACTTCATAGCCATAGCAGAACCTGGCAACAAGCTCAAACGTTCCGGAGTCAGCATCTACCTCTCTGAGCAGCCGATTGAGTTCTTCAAGCGCATTTCTCTCGATCAATTCCGTGATTTTAGCTGATTTTTTGGCTAAAGTTTCCTGACACAGAGCCGTCCAATGAATCAGAACCCAAAAGTTTTGTTATTGTGATAAGTTTCTTGAGGGTTTAAAAAAAAAGGGCTCACTTTGTGAAGATTAAAAGGCTCTCCCTTCACGTAGAGCTGGAGATCGGAGGAGGACGAGACCGGCTTGGAGATTCTTCAAGACGACGACGAAAATAACGTCAGAAACTATTTCCGGGTCAATCGAAATGATAATCTGAACTGAAGAAATCAAATGAATCTTTACCTGTTTGATGCATCGTTCGTATGTTTATCTGACATCCTGCAACAGCCTTTCGATTACCCGGAGAACGGTGACAGATTCAAAAATCCGAAACCAGTGAGCGGTTTTTTGGTGTGATACTAACAAAATGCTTTCCGGTTCATGAAATCTGCAGAAACAGAAAAAGAGGAAGAAGAGCGACCATGTAGATGACAATGAAAACGGTGTGGCTTTAGAACGATTTGCTACAAGGAAAAAACCTGAAAGAGTAGAAAAACGAAATCTTCTCCAGTTTTTTTACCGACTTTTGTGGAATGGATTTGGCTTTGAGGAAAATCTAAAGTAAAAGAGACGTTAGAGGAAGAGGTAAGGTTACTTCCCAGTTCCCAGAATGTAGGAAGATCAGTTAGGATATTGTGGGATTCTCAGAGAAAATGTAAATGTCAACATTGCTGATTATATTATCGACGTTGAAAGTTAAAAAAGAAACAACAGACAAATCTTCCTCGAGATTTATTATTAACAAGTAGAGATAAAATACACAACATCATTACAACTTTAGTATAGTTTCACAACAACACATTTTTAACATAACGGAAGGAAAAAGACCAACACTTGAGGCATATCTCTTTGTCTGTATTCCAAACACATCAAGAGGTTCATCATCATCACCTAAATAAAAACAGAGAAACAATTTCATCAGATCTCTGTAACAGAAGGAAAAATAAGACAACACTTGAGAAGATGATTTTACTTTCTGTATGCACAGAGAGTTGTAATGTAATGTGTAATCTATTACCTGTCTGAAGGCAGTTTAGAACCTGCATAAGAGAATAACCGAACAGCGTTACGGTAGCTGAGCTTCGCGAGTTCTTCTTTCTCCATTTCCAGCAAGTTTGCAACATAGTCAAGTACCTGTCATCATACCGTTTTCATCATTGTTTTATCCTTCAAACGATTGAAAAAGATGATCGGTCTAAAGGACGGGCATTGTAGAAGATCTCTAGCTCATTCCGCATCATCACGTTTCAAATCCAAAGGAGATACCAATATGAATGAGGCAGTAACTCACGATATGAATGTTTTCAGGCACGTTGATGGTTTCCTTTGGGGCAGAATTCCCGTCTTTCAGGAAGACGTGTCCTTGTAGAGAAGAAGGATCTCCCACCTTTGGCAGCCCATCCGGGCAATCAGTTTCCAATAAGATCCTATCGGAAGGAACCTGGAATAATCGTACAATTTTAAAACTCCGTTCCCTACAAACACACGATAGTAACATATAGAGGAGAATATTGCAGAAACTTAACGGCTTTCACTATCTCCTTCGCCTTCTCCTTGCTCGTGTAAGTAAGCCATCCAGAGAAAGAAAAATATGAGCCTAACTCGGCGAGTTGAGGGACAATCTCGGCAGAACCAGCGTATGAGTGAAGGATAACTCCGCTAGGGAACGGCCCCACAGACCTGTGTATGCATAAGATTCAGGTATTATATCGATATTACACGAGGGCATAAATTCTAGCTCAACAATGAATTACCCTCGCTTTTCTAGGAAAATATGAAGAAAGATGTATAGGGTCCTAAAAGCATTAGAAAACATCATACTTCATTATCTCGATCAGATCGTCAAAGGCATCGAGACAATGAACAGCCACAGGTTTTTTCAATTCCTTCGCAAGTTCAAGCTGTGGCCGAAACACTACCACCTGAAACAGAGTACTTTAAAACGTGAAAAAGGATTGCCAAAGATAGATAAAATTTCGATGTTCAATGCATCTACAAGGTACAGAAATGATTTTGACAGAAACAAAAGATGCTAATTTCTGAAACCTGGTCTGAGAAATCAATCTCCCCTGCATTTGGACTTTTGTCCAAACCGATCTGACAAAAAAGAGTGCGAGAAAAAGGCGTGTAAGCATTTAAGCATGAAACTGGCTTAGTGATCTCTACAAAGTTTGCTCGTAGTTGATATTGAAATCATAATGAAAGCTCTTCTGTGAACATCATGTGTTAGATAACAAAAATATATAATCTTTAAGATATCTCAGAGAGAGAGAGAGAGAGAGAGAGACTTCTCCAACTGCAGCAGTGGGAGTGGTTTCAAAGAAATTCTTCAATGTATCGAACCAACAAGGGGTCCTATTCACGATGAACCTGAAACCAGATTTCAAAGCCAATCCCAACAATAATTCTTCAATTTATCGAACCAATAAGGGGTCCAAACACTTTGCGTCCCCCGTTTCAGTGGTTGAACTACCCAAGTTTGGGTAACTCTGGTTATTGTCAAAGGGGTCTGAATCACATACATACATCCTAAAAGCCATGGTTTGAACGCATGATATATTGAATAAGAGACTGAATCATCATTACAAGTAGAACAAACTCTGCATGTACAAAGTCACATCCAGACATATACTTACACAAAATCGTCGAACTCACATACGCTACACTACAGTACATACCATGGATGAAGACCGAAGCATGGAATAACAGAAGGGTATTCCTCTCCCATCTCTTTGACCAAATCCCAGTCTTTCTGTTAGCAACAAAAGCAAAAGGAAAACGTCATCAATCAAAATCTGAAAAAACTTGTAAAAAAAACATAGAAAGATTATTACAACTAAAGCTACCTCAGACGTTCCATTGACGGCAAAAGCATAAACTCCTGAAGCTACGGCTTCGGAGATGAGCTGACCGGCTTCGTTGATGATCCTCGGGTCTTGGAGGTGGCAGTGCGCGTCGAACAGCTTCATCTTCTTTTCTCTGTTTGCCATGCCACAGAGACGGAGAGGGGGAGAGAGAGAGAATTTTACAACTAAAACTTCAAACCCGATGTAATGGATTTGCTCGACTACTACATCCTCGTACATATATATGCACGACGTTTTAACACAGCGTTGACTTTGTGAGTCGAATTGTAAAGCAATTGCACATGCCCAAGATCTTAAAATTTTTATTTTTTTTACAAAAAATACAGAAATCATTCTATATTTGAAGCGCTAAGCTTCGGGTATTATAGTTTAGAAGTATAAATGCACATGTTCATTCCTTGGTCTACAGGAGTGCCCCTGAATCGATCAGAAACTTAACCTTGTCACTGTGACAGCTACTGCTCGCGTGAAGATATCTAAGTTACGTAGAACAAGAGTGGGTCCACGTTATTACATCTCTTTGTATGCAAGTGAAGTCCTCATGCAGTCTAATTTATTCACCACGTAAGCTGTCGCCAACAAGTTTACACATTTCGATGAAAGCAACTCACGAGGCATGTCGTAGCTCAAACATCACCTGAGACAACAGCCAAAAACAGACAAAAAATTCATTAAATTTTATATCAATACTATTATTATTATAAATAAGATCATTTCATGCTGAGACAGCAATCACAACTATTTACCTGTCTGAAGGCAATTTTGAACCATAAGAGAATAACCTTACAGCATTCTGGAAGCTTAGCTTCGCCAGTTCTTCCTTCTCCATCTCCAATAACTTCGCCACATATCCGAGTACCTGCCAACGTTTTTTATAACAGTCTCGTAATCCACGATTTCGGCTAAAACATGTGTGAATGCAGCCAAGGACGAGTTTAGTATCCGCATAGATGTAATGGGATTTACTCCAAATATCATTTCATTCTAATGGCATCCGTCCGTAGAATTCGAGTTAAGGAACTATAAAAAGGTAATAAGACTATACGAAGCAAAGAGCAAGACATGAACGATCAGAAGAAGGTAACGTACAATATGAATGTTTGCAGGGTGGTTGAGAGTCTCCTTTGGCAAATTCATAAACTCGTTAGACACATTTGACTGATCACTTGAAGCAGAATCAGGGCCCGGAACTGAATTCTTGTCTTTGGAGCGGACATTTTCGGGTAGAGAAGGATCTCCGTCCACAAAATACAGAGAACCTAACTCCGCCTTTGGCAGTGCATCTGGTGCATCTGTCTCCAGTAAGATCCTGTCGGAAGGAACCTGTAGAAAGTAAACTTAAGAATCCATTTTCTGCAACTGTAGGGTATAGAAATTAGGAAAAGCTTACCGCTTTCAACATCTTCTTCGCCTTTTTCTCGCTCATGGACATAAGAAAACCCGAGAACGAGAAATATGCGCCAAACTTGGCAAATTCAGGAACCATTTCGGCTGAACCGAGGTATGAGTGAAGGATAATCCCAGAAGGAAGAGGTCCCACAGACCTGCTTATGCAGAATTCCAGTATTAGATAAACCGCAAGTAGAATTCTACTGTTTAACAACACCTATATATTACAGGCACTAAAGAATGCCGA